CATAATGGGCATATATGGTAAATAACAAGTTTTCCCCAATATAGTAACTTAATTTACGTTCCTTAACAGCAACCCAGTAGTGGGCTCGGTGACGGTCGGTGTGTTTTTGGGGGCTTCAGGGTAGATAGGGCTTAGGTTGAGGCTTTCGGGCAACCTATGGGCTCTACAAGAGCTGCATAATCTTCCTGGATGGATCTTTGATGCCATCGAAGGGCCTACGGCCTCTAATCCTCAATTTTGCGCCTGAAGTCGGGCAGCGCTTCTTTCCAACAAGCGTGCTTCTACACATCCGTAGGGCTCCAAGTTCCGAAGGTGAGGACTAAAGCGGTTCAGTTCAGGTTGCATCCTACATCTTTGGGATCCGAACAAAAATGCAAGGGATGTAGTGTAGAAGCTTGAACAACCAGGAACATTAGTTAATTATCCCTATACAAACTTGAAACCATCAAAAATGCGCACAAGGCGTGTTCTGTGCCTTTGGGAATGAGGTTTGGGGGGTAGAGAAAGGGCATCTGCCGAATTCAGGGTCAATTACAAGGGTGACTTTTATTGATGACGCCGGCTCCTCATTGGAACTTACTTCTTACTACTTACAATACTCACCACCTGCCACCTACCACCCGCACCAACAAGCAAAGCCACCGCAACCGCGACAGCACCGGCACGGGCACCACTACCACTAGCACTAGCAACACACCTACCCCTGCTTGTTCTTCTTCTTATTGGGGTGTAGGGCTTCAGTTTCAGGGTTCGTAGCTGGCAACTGCTTCAAAGGGACTACGCTTGATGCTTGGTTGTAGCATTGGACCTGCAGCCCTCAAACTGAGGTCAAGTCATGACCGCCTCCCATGGGAATCATGAGCTAAGCTGAAGACCTCCCTGTTGCAAAACGCATGGGAAAATGGAAAAGAAAATGGAAACTACTGTAGTATATAGGGGTTAAATAGGGGTATATTGGGAGAATGGAAAAGAAAATGGAAACAACTATTTAGGGTTTAGGGGTTTAGGATGGATACAGGTATCTGCGCGCGGGCGAAAATTTGGTGCTCTGCAGTTGGTGCCCTGATGTGCACAAAGCAAACTCCGAATATCTTACCAGGGGTTTGGACTAAGGGAATCGGTTATATAGGGATGATACAGGGGATGTATTCCCCACATTATTCCCTACTAACCACCTGCAAGTAAAATACCCTGCCCCAAGCAAACCTGAGAGCGCAAAAGGGACCATACAGCAAACATGGTTCATTCGGAACGATATCTACGGATTTCCCAACAAAATTAGGAGAAACTTTTTGAGGGTCCCCATAAAAAGGATTATATTAGATTAGGGTTTATATAGGGTCCTTTTTGTGGGAAACTACCATCTGAGACCTTCAAGCTTGAGAACCCAACTCCCTAAACTTACATGAGCAATAGTCTAAACTCCTAGTATCCCCCTGAATAAACCCTATACTAATCTCCGATATAATTCCCTATTTAACCTCCCCTTTTAAGGAGTTTAGACTCTAGCTTACATACGGGCGAGCCTCCTCATGGTGCTCAGCCATTGGCCTGCGAGGGCGGCTTGCTATAGATTGTTTTACCGTTGGGCAAAGGTGCTCTTCGGCATAGATTAGGTGGACCCCCCACACAGTAACAATAAGGGATAATGGTGATCATAGTAGGACTCTCTGAAATTCCTATTCTAGCACTGTTACAAAGGTGGGGGGTCTACCTAAGGCATAGGTCTTATGGAAGCAAGGATGCTTTCACATAATCTCCCGTCAACAGGATTGCCATGTAGAACGATGCGGGGCAAGACCCTGATAAACACAACTAAAATAATATCAAGCTCTTCCTGCCGGAAACGTTATGCTGCTCACCTCGTCTGCAGAAGGCCACGACGCTGAAGCAGCACGAGCGGCTGATATGCGTCAGGATGTATTGGATGTTCAGGGTTCTGCTATAAAGCCTAAACTCTAGCATCCGTCTAAGGCAGGGATGAGAATGAACCGCAGTGTCGTACACCAGACCAGGCGTACACCCCCAACTCTTGTATAATCATGGCCTTCTTGACTGTCTTGACGGCTTCTGGACGACCTATTACAAAGATTCCCAGCAGTGCTTTAGTAGAAGTAGCAAAAATGCTCAACACAAAGGGTATGAGGAGACATGGAAACATAAACCCTGGTCCCGCTGCGACCTCTCGCGGCCAAAAGCAGGCCGCGAAACGAGGCGGCTTAACGAATGAAATTCTCAATACAGCTGGGTTGTACCCAAGATGCGTTGAGTTCCTGCCTTTTCGCCCCATATTCATATAGTAATAAGAATAAAACGGCAATAATTATACAGAAATAACAATAATGGGCTTCATAGATCTCTGAGTCAAGCCCTTCGCATGCTTGGTGGCAAATGCTACGGAATCAAAGTGCATGAGGGACACGCTTCGGGTTTAGGGTTTGGGGTTTACGGGACCAAGAAATACGCGTTGCGTCAGCAAGATATGCTTGCCCAATGTTGCAACAGCTCCCAATGTGTTCGTGTGTGTATTTGAGCGCCCTTGATTGCGGGGACTCTTAGAAGTTGTTTTCAAAAACCACTCTCTGATGTTCGACTCACCCTAGACCCTAAACCCCCAACCCTAAACTCTCTGATGTTTGACTCCTCCATGCTGGTGCTTCCTGTGTATGTTGTTCGGGGATCCCTCAGCCTAAACTCCACCCCAATGTTGGGGATTCAAACAGCGCAATGTTGTAATGATTTATATGCATAAACACCGCTGAACCCTAAATCCTAAATTCTAAACTCAAAGGGATATGTTTTGCAGGCAGCTTTGGGCAAGCCTTTGGAGCAAGAACGCCGTGGTTCTAGCAATCCTGCAATAGTCTTTGGAGGGGCCTGTGGTCTTTCACTGGCATTAAGTATTACCATTATTCTTACTACTATTATTCTCACTATAGTATATTGGGGTTATATAGGGATAAGGGAAAAGACAATGGATCCGGATCCAACTTACGGAGATGGCAACCTCAAAGGTGACCCTAGTGCCCAGGAAGGCCGGCTTATGACTTAGGGAACCCCTGGAAGTATATACGCAAAGAGCGCTACACCCCCTTAGTTAAGGAGAATACCTTGACTGATATATATATATATATGTATATGTATATATCTATGATTCCTAAGATGCTGTACTCCCTAATGGAGGTAGAGCAGCCTCCCTGGGGAATTGGAATATCCAGCCCGAGCGCGATTCCCCAAAACTATGCAGCCGCAGCTTTTGCACTCTTCCCCGAAGTCCCAAAGCCCTGACACCCTGGCCTCTATGGGGGGTTGACCAACATTGGGGATCCTTTTGGGTCCTCATAATAAGGATCATAGTTTTTGGTCCCCTACCTCATGAATCAGGGGCATTTTTTTATTTGGGCCTTGGATGGAAACCTAATCCCTCCGAAATCCTGACGAGGCCGTACCATGGGCTGCTACAATGGTACGCAAATCTCTCATTCAGCCCCTCAATTGCTAACAAGAACCCTAACCCAAAAACCATCAACCCTAGTATGGGAGCTTAACAAAACCACCCTTTCTAGAATCCGCAGCAACGACTCCTCCACCCGTAGATCCCCATTGTAATTACCAAGGATTCAGGATATGGCCTAATGTTTAGGGTTTAGGGTCCTGAAGACTGCCATTTGATGTGACAAAACGCATAAGCAAGAACCCCTGACTGCTGCGGTCTGTTCTCCGCAGCTGCGCGCACCCATCCTTCCTCGAAGGCTTCCATCATCCTTGCTCTCCAAAAGGCAAAGGATCTCAATAGTGCATCTCAAGGGCGCGGGGTTTGGGTTTTTAAAGTTGCTAGCTAGGGGTGACCTAAAGAAACATATGCACACAATAAGAAGAAGGCCTTGTGCCAAAACAACTTAGATTCCTGACCTATTTTATAAAGGTGTATAGAGTGACCTTGAGAATGGCTTGGGGTTTCGGGCGGATCAAGAATAACATCTCAATCATCCGTGTTTACTTATCCAACCTCTGAAGATAAAAAGGTATGCAGTTGTATTTAGGCCCGTGCTTCAAGCCTTGTGTATTAACTCCAATGTAGTACCAACACACTGAAAATAGAACAAACACCAAAACCAAAAAAAAATACAACTCCCAGACCAGCAGCTTTCTCATGTCGAGCCATCCGCCCGCCAGAGCCTGCAAGCACAGAAACCGCCTTTTCTGATTCCTGCCTCCCGCTTTGGTCCGGGGAAGTGCCGTAAGTTCCGGGCATTGCCCCTTAGGGTTCGAGGACTGAAATAATGGGGTTTTAAGGGCCCAAATGCCATTCAGACCATCAAATTTGGGCCCTGAAGCCCCTTTACTTGAGCCCGTGGACCCTTAGGGTGCCCCAACCCGCCAACGCGACATAGGGGGTATGGTTGATATGTGCACAGGCAGCAGGGCCATAAGCACTGCGAAGCGAGCTGCCTTGCCAAGTGGCCAATTCCAACCCAGATTGGCGTCTGAATAGAAATTATGCTGGCTTATGTTAGATGGCGCAGGCCAACGGCCCGCGTAGCAGCTATGAGTCCAACATGCCCAATTCAGAGATGGTTGTGCCCGCACTGTCAACCACGTAAATCACCAAGTCCCAGCAAGCAACCCTACACGGTATGAAAGTTCGAATGATGTGGCAAAACGCGTGTCACCGCGGTGCAAGGGTCGGGCTGTGAAGGAACCCTATGCCGCATGTCTGCGAAAACCTTATCAACGTACAAACTATCCAAGAGATACTGGAACTTGCCTGTTTGCCGTCCATGTGAGCTTGTGCGAGGTTGGATGCATGTGTTCGTTTTTGTCTTCTCGTGCAGACCTGAAGCCTTGACATGTGCAGTGTACGTCGTGTGCGGTATGCTCAATTTGAAGCCACATCAAAGCGCTTCAGGAAGAACTGACTACAGTCGCAGTTTGAAGCTGGTCGAGCACCAACGTTTGCAGGCACCATGATGCTCAAGTGATGTGCAGTGTTGCAAGGCAAAGCTCACTTCAACGCGCGAACGCATGGTCATTGCGAGACCTAACGCAGCCAGCGAGGACAATGCGAACCAAACTCCCCATGCAGCGAAGGATTGCGGGGGCTTTCCTGCAACGGGCTTAAGCCTTTGAGTGCCGCTTCACGATTTTAGTGTTGGGGTTGCGGGCCTCCTGCCTCAGAAAATGTAGGAACTGAGGGTTCTCGTTTAGGGGCAACTTCCTTGCACATGGCAAGCATGAAAGCTCCAGACACAAGAACGTTGGGAATACTGGGGAAGACTTCCATTTCAAGGAAAGGAAGCTAAGGTACAAGAATGTAGGCATTGTTTCCTACGACAACCTGCAGAACACACCGCTTGCTCAGCCATCCTAGCGACCCAGCTATGTGAGCATTATCATGTCCAAGTTCTTCTTCTCACATGACCCTGTCGAACAACAATGCGCTGCGTCCTCCTTGTGCTAGTGCATGTGCTAGCGAAGCCTACAGGAAAGGGCACAATAACAATATCAATGCACTGTTTCTTGTACAAATATTCACGGAACCCGGAAACTGCCTCGCTGTCGAGAAGATTGGGGGTGCTGGATGTATCAACCTACTCAAAAGTATACGGTGACTCCCCGACATCTGTGTACTTTTGCAGGTGGAAAGACGAGCTTGATGATATTGACGGCAGAGTTCAAAAACAATGGAATTCATTTGGCGTTACGACAATTCCTTGAAGAACACATTTTTTGTGAGCGAAGAAGTTCCATCAGGATCCTGTCATGCCTTGTAAGACCCTTGCTTTAATGCAACATTGGAAACAGGTTCTAATGCTCCTCACTAATTCGTGCCTGACCATGAATTCTACGGAAACCCTGCGCAAGACCCACACAAAACCGGCACGGCAAATAATCAAGTTCAAACTTCAATCATGATTTTATCAACAAGTCTTGGCAAGTTCATATGCAGTGGCGTACTTTCCAAGAATGCGTGTGACACTAAATCGAACTGATCTTACTATCATGACTCGATCATTGAGTCCAAAGGAAACTTTCACAAGAGGCAAAAGCCTTCCATCCAATGAGGCAGGTTCTTGTGGAGCCTTAATTGCTGCAGGTTCGCTTCCTCGAAGAAATCAGGAGGCCGTATGCCGAGTTGACACACTTTCTGAGAAGCCTACATGCGCATTGCCAAAGTGTTCTCACCTTTAACGGAAGGTCCCTCGGCCGCATGCCATGTTTCCAAAAACCATGAAACGTCTTTAATATTCCTGAATCAGTCCACGCCCTTCAAACCAAACTTTACGTAGATCCAGCCACCTTGGCTCCTTGGCCCTCAACCATGAATCATATAAGCCCTGCAAGCTCCACACCTACAAGAAAAGGCCCTCAAAGTTTGCCTGCCCTTGCCCATTATTTTCCATTATCCAAATCCCTAAGGGTCCTAGGACCTAACAATCATATACTTACCCAAAACCTGGACTATAATTCCTATTGCCCAAACCCAAGTACGTGCTTATTGGTTACATGGACCCTCTGGGAATATAACCTTACATGGGAGCCTTCTCCCGCGGGATCCCCTCGCGCATTTCGTTCACGAGGCGCCTCCGCTTCATGATCTACGAGCCTTCGTAAATCAAATTTGGAGCGTTGTAGGGATTCGATTCGCTGATTTTGTGCGTGGAGACATATAGGGATAGATGGGGAGCATGGGGTCCGGCATGAAGGCCTCGTAGGGGTTATATGAGACTCTCCCTATACATGTGGCGGTTGTTCAAAATTCCCTTTCTGGGATTTGGCCAACTTTAGCGAAAAAGTGTAATCCTTTCGCGTCTTCTTTCGCGAAACTTTCGCGAGTCCATTAAACTAGCTGAAATGGTCGCCCAAGTATAAACCGAAGACAAGGACCTTTAGAACAACCCTCACATACAAGGAAGGCACGCTTTTGTTCTTGCAG